GGGGGGGGGGGGGGGGGGGGGGACTGGTGGCTTCAGAACAACAGTGAGACTTCTCTGTAGCTGCGTTTTATAATTATCCAGCGTGTCCAGCCAGTCAGGTGGTATGTTCTGCCATGCGTAAAGAGACCAAGAGGACCGCGGGACACACCCGCACGTCTCAACGAGGTCGAGGGAAAAAAATGAGATGAAAAAAAAGGAAAATGAGTATGAGAGGAAAATCTTCGGACTTGGATCGGTTTTTCTGGTAACTCATCAAGGATCGTTGCGAAAGGGTGAATAATTTTTTGTCTGTAGTGGGGAAAAAATCACCTTAAACTAGTTTATTGGAAAATGATACTGGTCGTTAGGGTATTCATTGGAAGCTTCGGTTTTAATGATTTGAAGAACAGATGCTAGTTTGTTATTTGTTATTTATTTATTCAAGACCAACAGCCGAGGCTGATTATAGGATCAAATCATATTACATAATAGTTATGTCATAGAAATATGCACGTATGAAGTGAATATTTTGAAACTAAAATTGAAGTTTAAGAGTTAGCATTACCTTAGGGATAATAGGAGAGCGGAATTCCGGGAATCCGTATACCCCCACTACGCCACGGACGAAAAAATTTAATAGAAAAACCGAGCGAATTCTATTCCGAGCTAGACCATTCTATTGATTTTCTATTAGTTTTTAGGCGATTTATTGAAATGTTCTATTGACAATATTCGTTAGAAAAATGTCAATAGAATTTAATTTTTCTATACAACATATTCCACTAGAACAGGGCACGTGCTTCGCACGCGTATTGTCTTCCATCGGTGAAAGTAAACATTAATAAAAGTAAGAAACGGTAAGGTTTACTATTCTGACCATAAGGCAAAATTTAATTTTCATTACATTAAGGTATCAAATTAAATTCAAAACAGTGGTAAGGTATATATCTAAGCTAAGGTTTATACCAGCGTTCAGCGTTACCCAGGGTTCGCGACGTGGACGCCGTTAGTATGAACCCTAAAAGACCCACAATACCCGGGTAGAAATCACGCCGCTCGAGCTCGGCTCGGAACCCGTATCCCAGCTAGAAATACGCCACTCCGCCCCAGCTTGGGATAAACTCCACGCGCGTCACATGTACCCGAGGTTGAGCCGCGTCACGCGCTCACAGCCCAGCGTTAGACTATTACGCGAAACGCTTCGCCGGGCTTTAGTTGAATGGCCACTGCTCAACCTCAGGTTCATCTCCAATTACTCAATCCCAGTATACTTAACCTCAATAATGATTTGACAGGTCCGATGGCATCGTGATTTGAGCGAAAAAACAATCGAATAAATGTGAAGATGGCATGCTTTTTCAGATGAACAATCACAAGCTCATCAGAAATAA